CTTCTAAGGCTCGCTTGCCCGCTCACTCATCGTGCATCCCGACCCGTTGCGTCCGGTCGCGCGATGTCGTCCCGCAGCGACCGCCGTCGCTTTTGTCGCAGAGGGATTGGACCACATCGCCCATTTGTCTGGGTAGCTCTGGCCGTGGTAAGCAATCTCATCATTTCGTAATCCGACTCCCTCCCCCTTCGCCTCGCTCTCGACAACATCCCCGCCCGGTCCAGGACCAGCGTCACCGTGTTGGCACCAGATGCTCGCATCACGAATTGCTCTCTTCAAACCCATGGAAACACCGCGTCCCAATTTGCCGCTCACAGCCTATCATTCTACTGCATTCAGGGTTCACCATACAGCCAGAACCACCATGGGCCTGTCACGTCAAGAATCCCACTCCGCGAAAAGGCCCATTCTGCACACTGTGTGCCCGGCTACAGAGGTGCAGAGGTGACTAGAGGGCAGTACGGCCACAAAAAGGGTGCCCGCCCCATCGGTGTATAGTCACGGAGGCGGTTTGTGATGTACAACGGTTCGCGCGCAGGCTGCCTCCCTTTCCAGTCCTCGGGGGCCACCCAAACCGGGGCGCCATTTGTTTTCTCACACTTCCAATCGCGGCATAGCGCTGCCGGCGTTGCCCCGGGGTTCACCAAACCGCCAGCACCACCACAAGGGCGTGTCGCGTCAAAAATCCCACTCCGCGAAAGGCGCTGTCTGCACACGCAACCACCTGTAGCCAGCGAAATGCCGTGCAAAACGCCAGAGGGGAGCAGAGCACACAAAGGATCAGCGACCTGATGATGCTGCGGACCCCCTTGGCGTGCGATGGTCCTGCGCCAGCCGCCTTGAACTTGTTACTGGTTTACTTCCTCCTCGCCGGGACACTCTTGTCTTCCAGTACATCTTTCGGCGCATTATCGGACAAAGCTTCACCTCCTTCCTCCTAGTGTTCCTGTCCGCCTCGCTCCACGGAGTTTGCCGTCAGTGGGATTAACCGGCGCAGTTCTGGGCCCAGGACGGGCTGCCCGATGCGCCTTGCCTTCTTCTAGCAAACCATATTCCGGTGGCATTCCGAGGCATCTTCGGGATCTTCGGGGTTTGTCGGAAAAATCATAAGCCAATGCCCTCGTTCGATCTGGTCGAGGGGATGCAAGTCGAATGCGTCTGCCCGAATTTTCCTGATCTGTTGCCACTGGAGGAGCTGGATTTTGTGCTGTCTGGCGTAGCGGCCCCACGTTGATTCTGGGCTGGTGTAGTCTTGACGTTGTGCGGGTGTTCCGAGTCTTAATAGGTCGCCCTTCTTTCTCCTTCTCCGCGTCCATTTCTCTGCGACGCTTTCGTCCACGTGGTGGTCTCGTAGTCGCGGTATTATAAGGCGTAACGACGTGAAGGTCATGGCCAGGCGAGGAAGTGCCTGGGACGGCATCTTTGGGACCGGCATCGGGCGTTTTAAATGCGCATGTGGATGATGATGATGGGGTCGGGAGCCGGGGAGGCGGGTGGGACACAGTCGAGGTGGCTAGACCGTTCGTCAGGCCAGCTTTGGCTCTGTCACCATCGGGATCGCCGTCGCGGTATCCGTCGCTGCCGCTGATGGACGGAGGGTGCCGGCTTCGACGCGCGCTGGCACCACCTGCGCCCGTCTCCCCGCTGTCCAGTGTCGAGTTTCCCGCTTGTGTGGCGAGTCGGGTTTCGAGATTCTGGCGCCTTTTGCCGAGGGCAAGGGGAGGAGTCTTCTCCCTCTTACGCACGGCGCGGGCGGATGCGGCCCTTGGGTCGGCAGTGCCAGCTCTGTCGCTTGATGCTGCCGGGTTACCACCCAGGTCCATCATCGCCTGCCGCTTTTGTTCGATCCATCGCAGTAGTTTCATATGCCGCGTTACGTTCCTCTCAGCCTTTTCAGCCAGTATCGATATGATAGCCGCGTCTTCGGCCGAACGAGGCTCGGCCAGCCTGTTCACCTCTCTGTCTCGTTTCTCC